GCCAATGAGATAAGTCTCAGGAACAGTGAACTATATGATTGTATTTTTTTAAGGGAGTCTCAATACTCCCGTGTGTATCTGCATAAGTAGCGAGTGCTCCATGGTTTACTATGAATGAGGTCTAATGCACTGGTATGGTGTAATGTGATGATAAAACCAATACTTGAAATGCACTGTTTCCTGTCCAAAAGGCAAGCAGCATTAGTTTGGATAGTAGTTTATCTAAGGAGGGATAAAGTACTGGTAATGTTCTGCAACTATGTGCAGTCTTTTATTAAGCTTCCCACTAGTCGTCTCATTAATTTTCCTTCTGTCATGCCATGTCAAACAGTAAGTAAAGGTTTTTGATATAACTTAGGTCACTGGTTGAGGAATGTGTAAGCAATCTGGAATCAACACATTGACACAAACTCAGAAATATGTTGATGGAAATGGCAATATATTTGTGGAACCAGATGGCCTATTGGATGAAGTAATAGTAACTTGCTATCACATAGTTACAAACATTTCATATGCGATTAAACAAACACCATGCAGTCTTTCTTGGAGCACTAGGGATATAGTTAGTGTCAAGATACATTGAATATCAAAGGACATACTTCAGAGCGTGTGCTTGTCTGCAGTGGTGATTGTTAGGATGAAAAAAGACATACCCAGGTTCTATGTTGATAACTGTTGATGCCTTTCCACTACCATGGACAAAATATGTCTGGACACACTTTAGACCAGACATCTGAATATTTACAAGTCAACTGGATGACAAGAGCAGATTTAAAACTGCTGTTATTTTTTGATGTGGTTTGTATAAGTTTTGCATCATTCTGATTGGCTTATTTAGTGTGTTTTCCATTTATGAAAGACTAATAAAGTTAACACTGGAAGGGCTGTACTTTGCCTTACCGTCCTCAATCTGATGATGATATAAATTATCATATGGATGCTTGCAAAGCTTGGTAATCGTGTCAAAATTGATAGAGATGAACATATGCCACATGTCATGTTTGCTTACCAGGCAGTGGAACAGAGATTGATTGTTTCATTGTCAAACAAGCTCATATTTACTCAGGATATACTGCTTCCTATGGATGTAATGCATGATCCACCCTTAGAGCAGATGTGTGACACTGTACATATGGATATTTTGAGTGATAAGACCTGTGTTAGTATATGCACACGAACTTACACTTTAACACCTAGGGAAAGTTGCTATATGGTAGAAGAGATCTTATGATCAATCACTTAAGAAATGAACATTCTAGCATAGAAGCCACAAGAGGTATGAAAGCAGTTTAGCTCTGGCTGGTCCTGTCCTTGACTTATACCTCAGTAGATAATACCATTAACATATGATTTACAGCAGTTTCATAGGTCAAGTAAGCACATGGAACACTAAAGCTGTATGTTACAGATGAGCCTCTCATGCTTGGGCTAGACCAGGAATCAAGGGTTGATACCATCGAATCGGAGAGAAATGAGAGTACTGTTTCATATCCTTTCATCTTAATTGATGAGGACGAAAAAGCTAAACGTAATTATTTGGCTATACAAAATGAGCTATAGAAGGCAGTGTTTGGAGAAGTGATGTAAGATAGATCTACTGGTCAGCCAAGTCAGTGGTGATGTCATCCTCAGTTCTGTGACTGAAATTAATTGTTGGACCAGCAGCTGAAAAAGTCATGGATTGTGAAATCATGATTGAAAGGAACTGACCTTTCTTGCTTTCCGAACTAGTGGGTGATATTTCGTGATGAAATTTATATGTCACTCAATTATTACAAAATAAAGACAGTTTGTTGATATCAAGATTAATAAAGCCAAAAGGGTTTTGCAACTCTTGCTTTCTCAGCTATCAACCAATTTCATTGAGAGATTTCTACAGGATATTGAGTGATAGCTGCTAAATTATCACACAGCTAAAATGGTAGTTGTCAGTAGGTGTAATGCCTGGAACATCAAGAGTTTGTATATCTGAAGATGATTGCTAGAAGCTCAGAAACTCAGCTGAAAAGACATTCTTAACAATCAAGTGATTTTGTAAGACTATATGTCGCCCAACATTTTACAAGAATTGATCACCGTATATAACAGATTGTTAGGTGTTTTACAGAGCAAATCACATGATCCTCACTAGACTCTCCTTACTATACTTACTTATGTATAAATAACTCCTCTATGTGCAGTGATAGAGTTGTATTCTATTTCCACATGGATTACAAATCAGGTTGTTTTGGTTTTAAGTGGAGTAGTCCATATTACACTGGATTTTATAAATTTCTAGAGATATATGGATGATTAGTATAAACAGTTTGTTTTTTTTGTTAAGCACAAAGCTACACAGTGAGCTATCTGTGTTGTGGCCACTTACTGTTGAGCCACTGAGTGTTTTTCCAGTAAAGGTGTTGTCCTTTGTGAATAAACCATTTTAATTATTTTTATCGTTTAAATAAAGATTGTAAATGTTTAATTTTCTTAAACACTGCATTTAGTCTTTTTTGTTTCTTCCAACTCAGTTAAATTCAGAGAATTTAGCTTTGTTCTATGAGTCATTTTTCTTCAGGCCTCATGTGATTCTGTAGAACCCACCTAATAACTAACTCTTAGAGGAAACCAGTGCTCCTTCCAAAGATGACAAAGCAAGATTTATGTGAAAGCAAAAATTGTGCTGAAACATTACAATAAAAAATAAAATTTTCTGAGATACACCTTCGTTTTTATGTTGCAAAGTTCCAGTAAGAATAATGCTAAATGTGTAGCAGCTACCATTGTTGTTTGTGTTGTTTTATCACAAGGCTACATACTGGGCTATCTTCTCTGTGTTTGATGTCATAATCGAACTCTGGATTTTACCATTATTAATCCTGAATCTTACCTCTAACTTACATGGACACAGTTGTTAACAAGGTCTTTGTTCAACACTAATCTGGCCTGATTGCTATTTTACATGTAGCTCAAATGCTACTATACTCTCCAACTGGAAATTCGTATTGATCCAGTAATAAGTGGGGAAAATAAAAAAAATATCATCCCTCCCACAGTGGATGTTCATAATATATATATATATATTAGGATTTAAAGAGCATAGTGACATCAGAATTTAAATTATTTATTTTTGCGTTTCATTGATTGTTTTTAACTTAAGCCAAAGGAAATCAAGTAGTTAGCTATTTAATCATTTATAAATGGTACGGTTGTATTAACAGAAGTCAACAGAATTATATTTTCTAATGCTTTCTTCAAACATTTGCTTACTGAAAACATGATGTTTCATATCTATAGAAAGACATACACATGAAAAGAATTCTGCTTGGTTGTTATTAAACGCACAGCTGCACTGTGCCCACCACGAGAATCAAAACCTGGCTTTGTCGTTATAAGCCTTCAGACTTAATGCCGAGCCATTGGGGGGGGGCATGAAAAGGGAACTTCTATTAATGAGTAATGTTATTTTTTCTGAAAACTTGTAAGACCTTTTAATGCAAGTTATGGAATCTAACTTTTGAATATGTAATGTATATAGAAGTATTTCAGTATAAAAAAAAATCAGCCCTTCAAAAATTGGAGTACCGATCAACTTCTCTAAAAGTAGAATGAACATCTACTTACAGCGAACTGTAATGTCTACTTTTGAAGTTCAATAGTTTGTCTATTTCATCGTATGTTACCTTGAGCTGGTTGCTCTAATTACTAAACTGGATCTGGAGTTCATGTTCTTTTTCCGTGAGCTAGGTGGTCCAATTACTTACGTGGATGTGGAATTCGTATCCCCTTATTATGATCTGGGTGGTCTAATTACTTACGTGGATGTAGAGTTCGTATCCCCTTACTGGTATATGGGCGGTCTGTTTACTTACTTAAATGTGGAGTTCGTATCCCCTTACTGTGATCTGGGTGGTCTAATTACTTACTTTGATGTGGAATTCATATCTCCTTACTGTGATCTGGGTGGTTTAATTACTTACTTGGAACAGTAGTTTTTATTCTTCTTTGCTAAAAAAGAGGCGCTCTTCTTGCTTATTTGAACTAGAACTCGAGTTTACTTTCTATTGCCATGAGATTAGTGGTACGTAGTGAAGTTCATATAACCTTAACAAAAACTGTCTGGACTATCTACTTATCAAGAAATGCAGTTTCTAATTTCTTAAGAAAAATTGTGTGGTCTTCTTGGGTCTGGTGGTTAGGGCACACAACTAGCAATTGGCGAGTCGTGAGTTCGAATCCCATCACAAACATGCTCGATCTTTCAGGCATGTGGGGGGACATTATAATAGAATGATCAAACCCCCTATTCATTGGTAAACAGTAGCCCAAGAGTTTGGCGGAGACTGTTCTTATTAACTAGCTGCTTTTCCTGTAGTCAATCGCTTGAAAATTAGCTACTTTCTAAGAGGATTATGTTGTGTATCTGTTTACGTAGAAATGGGACGTATATATATTGAGCAAGAATGAAATATTTACTCAACTACTATGATTTGTATAGTTCACATGATCAACGTGATCTGAATTGGTTGTCTACTTTTGGTCATCTAAAATTTCTATCTATTTAATTTATGTAGTTCACATGTTTAAGGTGATCTGAATTTATCTACTTATAGTCATCTACCATTTATTCCTATTTACTATAAACTGGAGCATATATATTTTAACAAATAATAATGTAACACCTATTAAATATATACCTAACAAATTGTATGCTGCACAGAAATAGCTATAAATTTAGAAGGTACGTCTACCTACCTAATAAGAACACTAAGATCTTTCTATTTTCTAAACCCCACGAATTTTATCTATATATTGAGATTTCTGCCATTTTATTATGAACTTAGATGTCCACCTTCTTATGAAAATCCAGAATTCCTACATCTTCATCAAGAACCATGATTATCTATTTACCAGCATCTGGTGTAATTACTTCTTCAACATCATCACCACTCCATCGTCTGTCTACTTATTAAAAACTGAGGTGGGATACCCACTTGTTTGTTAAGTCTGACTGTACTTACCAACGACTGAGGCGTTAAGGGAAGACGGTGATCTTTTGTTCTCTGAAGAACCACTTGGTACATAGGAACCAGAATGTGGCCGATAGCATCATGTCTGCCTTGTCTAGAGTAATCAAATAGAGACAGTCTTAACGTTTGCTTCTGTAGGTCTTTTTTCTCTATTGGAAAAGTGAGATACTCCTGAAATTCTGGATTGAGGGCATTTTTAACAATTCTAGAACTTTTGAAGTACTTTCTCTTACAGGGCAGAACAGTTACCCGGACAAAGGTATCGTAAGTCTTTTCTTGTCCCATGTAAGGAAGGTCTTCTGCTCTCTTCAGAATTACCGTCAACCTATCGGTGGAGTAGATACGTAAAGAAACAACAACAAAAAATTGAACAAACCACATTTACTTCTTTTTTTATAAATTCAGGTTGATTAAACTTATACTATAAGAAGAAAATAATACAGATAAATTACATTGCCATGGTTACAAGAGGGGAAAATCATGTGGATGAAGGTAACGATGTACAATGAATTTTGATTATTGCATATAAAAATAGCAATGACATGTGGGGTACAATGATATTTCCATCATTATAGATAGAACTGACAAGATTATGTGTATATGTAAGTGAGATACAGTTTACAAAAAAACTATTCTAAAAAAATATGTTAGTGGCATTCAGTGGCTAAAACGTCCTCACTGTGTAGGACTAATTAATATCAGGGTTTTATGAACCCAGTTATTTTTAAGTCACACATTTAGCAGATACTAAACATAGAACTAGGATTGGCGCCCGCTATTTCGAGGTGGATGCTAAAAGCATTTAAAATGCCCCTATAAATCAGGCTTTACGTTAAAGGTTAAGACAGGTAGTCTTTAACGCTAGAAATTAAACAAATATAGTGAAAAGACAAATCATCAACCCTATATAATTATTACATGCTGTTTTTATCGTCGTAGTCAGTGTTATGAAAATAGTATCCAAAATTATTACTGCTCAAAAAATCATTATTTTAACGCTCGAAAGTAACTGATATAATCAATAACCAAAGGAAAGATCAGAAATTCCAGTAGACATCAGTATATTTACAATATCATTGTTACCTGTTGTGCTTATCATCGTAGTCAGTGTTAAATAAAAGGTATCCAAAATGATCGCTATTCATATCATCATTTTCACATGCTTCCTCCAAGTCAAAATCCTCTTGGGATTGCCATGAAGACTTAGTTTCTTCCAACTTCTGGAGTGTTGATTGTGAGGTGTCAGAGAACTGGAGTGACGTAGAGACAGTACTAGCATCAGTGCTTACAGAGTACATGGAAAACCTTCTTTCCCTCTCCGTCCATCCTTCTTCGGTGTTTGGCAATGTCACACCAAGTTTTTGATGTCCTATTTCAGATAAATAGAGTATACCAGCGATGTAATGTCCGTCTATGAATTGGAATTAAAATATGAATTTGTCAGGATATAAAAGACTGTTTGGTTTAAATATTAGTGATTAATTTATATTTGTGAGTGAATATTTTATTATTTTTAAGTTTTGTTATATTAAGAGTTAAAAGCAGACAATTGTAGAAGGTTTTTTTAATAACTAGTTGGTGTCGAGAATATAGAAAGTGGCCAAACGACTATGTAATAAAGACAGACAGTATTAGACAGATAAAAGAAAAGAGAATATAATTGTGTGAAGTTAAGTACCACAAAGGTGATAGGCCCAACGTTTAATATGTTAGAGTGAAACTAACAGTATATAAAAAAAAAGATAAGAAGGATAATTTTATTCCGTCAAAGCTTGATTCTAAACTAATTAAATCAGCCTGGGTACACTTTGACAAAAGGAACAGAGAATCTTCAGAATAAAGAAGACCAAACGAATTACGATAACTTGCGCCACAACTGTAAGTGAATCACACAGAGAATAGTAGTACGATAGTAATATAGAGAAGATAGTTCGACTTATCAATTGAAATTCTAAAGTAGTTGAATAGACCTAAGTGGATTTTTCACCAGAAGAAGAGAACTATGTAAATAGTGTTCATGATATGCCTGTAATCTCTATAGTGTGAAGACTTTATTGTATATACGTTAACTTGTTCCGAATATATATATATATATATATATATATGTATTTAGAAAACAAGTAAAGTGTTTGTCTGTTTATTCTACCGTTGTAATTTATCGCTAACAAGTCACAGACACCTACTGTAGAAGAATCCTAAGCCCAACAACAACATACTATATATTTATACTATTAAGAAATATAAGTAAAAGCCATTTATTTTGACAATTGGGAAAAAAAGAGGAACTTATATAATTTTTAGAATCTGACAATTGGCGAGCCCCAGCCGGGATTATACAGTGGTAAACGGCGATAGAAGAAAACGTGAATGACAGCGGAAATAAGTAGGCTTATCTATATACGCACAACTCTAGTAGTAACGAAAATAGTATAGATATTAAAATTACACCATATAACCATGTCAACAGATTTTGATAAATGGGTAGAAAGAGGATTTCAGTTTGGGTTAAAAGACAGTGAATTACGAGAGTTTGTTAAATAACAACAAGAACTGGAAATATAAGAACGGCAACAGAAGAGATAAATTGAGAAAGAGAGAAAGATTAAAAGAATAAAATGAGAGAAAGGAGAAATAGAAAGAATGAGAATACAGATTGAGAAAGAAGAAAAAGAGAGAGAGGAGAGACTAGAAAAAGAAAGAATAAGAGCACAAATTGAGATAGCAAAACTCACCCAAACGAAGGAAGAAGGACCCAAGAATGACAATGGAGTCAGAGCTAGCAGACCCAAGCTGCCCAAATTTGATGAACATAAAGATGACATGGATGCTTTCCTGGTGAGATATGAAAAATTCGCCCACAGTCAGAACTGGGACAAAGGCGACTTGGCAGTCTGTCTCAGCCCACTTCTCACAGGAAAAGGCCTACAAGTATATGCAGGCATGACGTCAGAAGATGCCATGGATTATGGCAAATTAAAAGTAGCTTTACTGAAACGATATGAACTTAATGAAGAAGGTTGTCGTCGGAAGTTCAGAGGAGTCAAACCCGACACTGTAATTCAGTTTGTGGCACGTCTGAAGCGATATTTCACCAGATGGACTGACATGGCCATGTGTGAAAATAGTTTTGAGGGACTGGAAGACCTATTAGTACGTGAACAGTTCATGACCACGTGTTCAACAGACATGTTACTGTTTTTAAAGGAGAGAGAGTCACATACACCTAATGTAGAGGAATTCTAAGCCCAACAACAACATAGTATATATTTATACTATTAAGAAATAGAAGTAAAAGCCTTTCTATTTGGAAACTGGCAAAAAAGA